CCCCAGAGAAAGAAAAGCCCAGGAACCATATAACTGTAAGATAAAATGTAGCTTTTGTCAGAAGAGAGAGAGGGATTTGGTTAATCATCATTGTAATTTATTTTATTTATCAATGTAGTAACTAGACAGTGCAAATACTCCATTGGATTGGATTGATTTTCAGAATTGGCTCTATCTTTTGTTAGGAATTACAGGTACTGTAGTCTTTGGCAAGCCTCTAAATAGTTCCTCCATTTTCCCCACTGAAAATGTTAATTGCAAAGAAGCGTAGGCGAAGAATTATTACTTCCCCAGGTCATTGTTTTTGAAATGTCTACCTCTACAGAACATTTCTTGTAGCAACTGGTCTACTGAAGAAGAACTGATCTTTTGCTGTGAAATTTCTGCGAGAGGTTAAATGGCCATATTCTAAGAAGGTACAGAGAGGGGGGCTTTAGGGTACATATACAGCTTTTATTTTATTTATTTAAATGTATTTGACAAATAGTCACAGCAAAAGCTCTGGTCTGCTTTAGGGTTGTAATGCAGAGGTTCTCCTTTTGTGGATATGACTTGGCTTAGAAATCTAGATCCCTACAACTTCATTCAAAACAAGGTTCAATTTGTTTTAATACAGTGTTTCTTAACCTTGGCATCTTTAAGAGAGGTATATTTCAACTTCCAGAATCCCTCAACCAGCTTAGATTAGCTGGCTGGGGAATTCTGGGAGTTGAAGTGCACCTGTCAAAGTTGCCAAGGTTGAAAAACACTACTTCAATAAAACATTTTTGAATTGCAAGCAAGGAATCTCAAATTCTATCTGGTTTTACATCATAGGCTGTTTTACAGTTCTCCTTTTTCTATTCAGTTATCCTAGTTCTCAATATCACACTTTCTGTTCATGAAAAGAAAAAGAAAAAAACTTGAAGTAGAATTGAATGTATAAAATATTATGTTCTCCCCTGCTTTTTAAAATAAGTATATTACTGATAATATCACAAATGTTAGAAAATGTTTTAAAAATTGTCTCACCATTACTAGGTTCACTAAGGTTTTTCTGGTTAAAATTGAAAAGAATTTAGAGATTCCTAAAACACTATTTTGAATTGTCTAATCTAAGCTATAGTAATATATATTTGAATCACTCTGTTTATCAAAAGATATATTTATAAACAAATTAATAAAAGTTAATTGCTACTTCAGTTAAATCCTGTATGTACTCTGAATTAGATGAAAAACCTGACATGAATTTGCATATTCTAATTGGTTGGCTGTTCAATTAAATTATTGTTGTTTTATTTTGTCACCACTTTTATTCTATATAAAACCAAATGTTGGGTTTGCCCGAACGATTCAGAACAAGATTTAATGGTAATCAACGGTCTTCTATCTTTTTCATACTTTCTCAAATTAGATAGCAGGAAAGAGAAACTACTAGAAATGTAGTTAGTATGCCATCTAGTGGTTATAAATCTGACCAGTAATATTCAGCCAATTAAATTTCTGGTTAGTTGGTTAGTCAAAATATAATTGGACTAAATCAACTCATGTACGAAATCTAAGAGTCATATTTAAAGAACAAGAAACCTTTTAGCACATAAAGATTAACAAATGTACATTTCAGGTGGTATCAGCCGGTGGCATAATTCAATTATTGACATTCAAAGTTCTAAAATAGCACTCTAATATTTGCTTATGAAAGATGCAAACATGAAAATGAATGAGAAAAGCATGTTGGAAGTCTTATTCTTTCAAAGTTGGGCTTGGATAGACAGAGATATATAGATACAGATATATATTCATAATTGCAATTTACAATGATTTACAGTTTAATAAACAAAGCTATTGATTATTATAAATTTTCTTTCTCATTCCTTGGTATGATTAGATACTAGTATCCATATGTGCCTATATGAATATAACTTCCAGTTCTTTTGATTAGCAGAGGCATCCATGATTTACTATGAAAGCTTGCAGACTTAATTAAAACAAATATAATGTACAGTACTTCACATTTTCTAATGCTTAAAAGGTTCACTAATATTGCCTTGGTTTTGTCCTGTAAGGAGGGCGCATATGGATGAATGCAACCTATTCAATGATTAGGAGGAAAGCTTGGAAGCCTTGTCTGTGCAGGATTGTTAATTTAACTCCTCTGTCACACTGAGAGAGTGGAAATTAGGCTTTTATTTTCAAGTCTCAACTCAACTTTCAGGACTCAATTCAAGTAACTCTTCAGCTCTCAATCTTGAGGGGCAGAATGCATGGTTGCAGGGGCAGAAAAACCCTTGGCATGCTGTTTTAAATGCAGTACATCTAATGATATTTTAAAGTAAATATAATGTCTTTGGAAATAAATCTTTGATTTCCCGCATGGTAAAATGCGAAATGGGAGTAGAAAGATCAACATCATTTTTAACGTATTGTTTCTATAGGCGGCTGTGATTGATATTGGTATTTGCGTAAGTTCACCTAGCAAGAGTTAAATTTGAAACACAGCTTAATCTGCAATTTACCCAACAGTCATACTGGGTCAGAGGCTGCAGCTTCTGAGCACTCAAGATAACAAGTTATCTCCACAGCTGCAAAGCACTGGACAATTCTGAGAACTCCATCATTATTAAATGTTGTGAATTACAAATTATAAGGGTTCTTGTTTTGAAAAAAATTAAATAAAAGGAAGAACATTTAGGTAGCCTCTCCCACTTCTGGTATTTTTGATCTTGGGTTTTCCCATTGCCAAAAAAGCCAATCTCTGAAATTAGTAGGAAAGAAATGGGGAAATTCCCTACCAGATCTTCTCTTCTGTAGTCAGCAATTTTCCTCCAGCTGGGGAAATAAAATTGGTATATCCTACAGTCCTTACGAGCCCTTTACAACTGCAACTCACAACTGCTAAAGTCCAGCTTATTTCCCAAATGTGCACACTTGGAATAAGATAGAGAATTTCTTTAAACCTTCTGCCTAGAACCTCTCTGCCCTTCATTTAAATTGCCCAACTTTTTAAGTTTTGGGCTTGTGTGAAATCCAAAATTTCAAACGTTTTTCGAAGTGTGCAGACCCCACTTCATATGCAGTACAGTGATCAATATTTGCAAGTTGTATGGTAACAAGTGCATGTTATTTTTAAAAAATATGTAGGAGTCTGGAAATTTATTTCAGTTAGCAGGCTCACAAATTTATTTCTGTTAGCAGGCTGGGCAAAGGTTTTGAAAGAGCTGCTTTGCAACAAACAAGCACACATACAATTCACCTTTTATCAAATCATTAAAGCAGCTGTGTCTTTTGCAAGGCTCAGGTATCAACTTCTAAGTCTGCTTCTAGCCGACTCCACATGGCTGTCTATTAAAAGCACACAGGAGAAATGCAACGTATCAATGCCACACAAATGAGCATGTTTCAGGATGTTTTTGTCGTTTTCTAATTTAAGTTGTGGGTAGTATCTGATTTCTTTGTTCATGTAACTTAATTCAGCAGGAAATGGTGTTTCTTATATTTGGCAATTGCTCTTAAATTTGAGTGGAAAGCATTGAGGATCACAAGAAAAATTTTGGGGCTATTTTCAGGCTCAAACCTCTACATAAAAGCATCTAATATTCAAACAGTGCTTTTCCCCCCCAAAAAAGGCAACTGGACTTTGATTTTTTTTCTTGAAGACATTTTGCTTTTCATCCAAAAAGCTTCTTCACTTCTGAAGAAACCTCTTGGATGAGAAGCAAAATGTCTTCAACCAAAAAACAAAGTCCAGTTGCCTTTTGGAGGAGGAAGCTCCTTTGCGACAATCATTACCTGGATGACTGAAAATCTTCACAGTCATCTAACATTTAATTTTTTTTGCTGAAACAAGAACCAGTTTGGTCCACCGGCTAAGGCATCGGCTAGAAATAGAAAGACCATTAGTTCAAGTCCTGCCTTAGGCATGGACGAGTCATTTTCTCTCAGTCCAACTCATCTCATAGGGTTGTTGTGAAGGAAATAGGAGGACACAGCCTTAGATATAAGCTGCTATTGTTTATAAAAATAATAAAGGCAGAATATAAATAAAATAAATAAACCAATCAACAAGCCACCTATGGAAACTGTTACATGGGCTTCACTTCCTATGGGCTGCTATCTTATGCGTTTGTTGAAACTGTTCGTGGGATTGCAGCCAGCATTTCTGTAATGTATTTTAGTAAGACTTGCCAAAGTGGCAGCAGAGACTGTCAAGGGCATAATTGAGTACTTACTGTGCATCATCATGTTCTTTCTTTATTTGGAAAAAAGAAGTTCATTCCAGGGAAGCTGTCTGTCAAGAAAATAACTTTTAACAAGCTACCACAGGCACCTTTTGGAAGGTATTAAAAAAGCAACAACTTTTTGTTGAGTGTTCAAGTCTTCCAGCAAAAGCTGTGTTCTAACCTCAAAGAATCCACAGTTCTAGGCTTGTGCTTGAAAGAGAATTTGCCTGTGAGATAGAACAATGGCTCTAATTTTGTTTCCAAAGAAGTATTTATGGAGGTGGGGTGGCAAGCGTGGGATTAGAGCTTTTCATGTTGGCTGGATCTCCCAGAATGGCTCACAGGCACATTTTGGCATTCCTTACACACCCAACACACTTAATAGCAGATTTGGTTATAGGAGGAATTAAGAGTTTGTTATTAAATGAAAATGAGAACTCCAAAAAACTTCAGAGCTTTAAATTCAGGATTCAGAATACAGCAGGGACAGCAAGTTTTTCAGAAAATAATTCACAAAAGGTTAATTGACCCTTGGGTTTTCTAGTAACTTAGATAAACTGGAAAAGGGGAAAAGGTCTTTTATCTCTATTTGAAATCAAGTGGCTGGAAATTTTTTCCCATTCTGGAAATAGCTCTCATCTCACGTTGCAGAATGCCATGTACTTCACCCATTCTCCCTTCTCTCTTCCTGTTACAACGGTCAGATGCTAAGCCAACACTAGGCCTTGAAAAGTCAGCCTGGCCTTCCATCATCAAATTATGCATAGAGTTTATTTACACATGTGTTCATTTCTCCTCTAGGTCCGGGTCTTTGTGAACCAACTGTACCGTCCAGATATCGTAAGAGACATCCAGCAGAACCCAGATTTGCAAGCTATCCGTATAGCTTCGGTGAACCCCATCTTGGATCCATGGGTCTACATTCTGCTGCGCAAGACAGTCTTGAGCAAAGCCATTGAGAAGGTCAAGTGTCTCTTCTGCCGCATTGGTGGGGCTCGGAGGCAGCACTCAGGTAACAACTGCAACTGGGCTGATGGTCGCCGGACCTCCTCCGTCACAGCCAGCCATTCACCCTCCTTCATCTCCCGAGAGTTGAGGGAGGTCAGCAGCACTTCACAGACACTGCTATACCCGCTGGAGCCAAGTGAAAGGACGGTCGGGGATCGAATGCTGTTACCAGGAACCAGCAGCTGCCTGGCTCAGTCAGATACTACATCTATAAGGACCTTACGGAGTTCACACACCTCAGAGTCCTCTCAGGGGCAAGAGTGTGAGAATACTCACTTTTTGGTGAGTGAACTAAAGCCTAGCGGGAGTAGCACTGCTAAAGGCAGCTCCCTTCAGGTCACTTTTCCCAGCGAAGCTCTGGACTTGTCGGAGAAGTGTATCTAAGCCACAGAAAAAAGTTTAAGGGACAGTTTGGTCCTTAAGTCAAGCGGGGAGAAACTGACACAACAGACATATCAAATGCTCATCTTTGCCATCCATTCTGTTGACCTAGCTAAGGCCTACACCTGAAGCTTATCTGGATTTCCATGTCCTAAGCTTGAGGGTGAAATAGCCATTTAGGGCAAAATGGACTTGGAAATGTGCATCCAGCAGGAACCCATGTGAGACGTTGAACTAGCCACCATCAGAGTTGAAGCATCTTGACTGGCAGTAGTTACACCTCCCTCAACATTGGTTCCAAGGTGCAGCTGCTGGATCTTTCCTGTTATGTGATAAGCACAGGTTTCTGCAGGGATTTTTATTACCCCTAGAGACTCATCCTTCCGCCATCAAACCCTGCCAAAGTAACAAAGGAATGTAGTGGTGTCTCAAGCACAGGCTGCTGCTTGTTGCCTTACCTTGCCCTGGGAGATAGGACTGTCTTCACAAAGTTTGTGTTGGAGAAAGTCACCAATCTTCTCCATTTGTACATGACTGAAGCATACTTATTCTACTCCAACCTTCCCTCTTGGCTTCATAGTTCAGAGAAATTAATTACAAGATAGTTGCCAATGGAGGAACAAACTGGTCCAGTTGTTGTGGAACCGATAAATCTATTGTGTGGAAAAAAAAATGTGAATTTTTCTGACTGAAATGTTGTGACTGACTGTATTTAAGGAATGTATATTCTTCTCTGCGAGAAGGTTAATTACTAATACAAAGTATAGAAAAAAAGTAATATGGTCAGATCCTGCTTTCTTCTTCTTAATGTATGTGATTAGATAAATTTTGCATTAGACTTTTCAAATTTGCAGACTCAAGAGGCCAGACTAGAGCTTATGGATGAGACAAGAGCTGAGAAATCTGGAATTAGATGGGAACACATTTTGATGCCACTATAGGGATAATAAAAAGCTTTTGTGTTTTTAAAGTGCTTCTCATATTTTCTTAAGTCTCCTTTTGAGTAGGGCTTGACTCTTTGCAACTTCACGGAAGGAGTTATGGAACTGCACATCCTTAAGAAGAAATAAAAATTATGTCCTGAGAATTTCTCTTCAAAATGCAGTAGTTCCTAGCTAAGAATGCAGTTCTGTTAACATCTGGTGTGTATGGATGCTGCACTGAGGCTTTACTCAGAAGTACATTCCACAATTACGGTAACAATTCTTGCTGATTTAGGCACTTCTTCACGTGTGCAAAATCAAAGTCCAAAACATCTATCCATAGTCAACATCCTCTTTGCCTAATTCTAAACGTGGTTGCTCTGGGACATTTCAGAATTTAGTACAAGAAAACATCTTAAAAGACCGCAATCTAAGGGCTACCTTACATAGCCAACTGTACAGCCGCTGCTCTTTGTGTACTTACAGCAACCCCAGTCTATTATGAATGTTAACACTTATTTAAATGAGTATCACATCACGCTTTGCATTATCAGTGTCCATATAGGAATTGGCAGCTGTACAATACATGGCATTATCATTCTTGTAAACATCCTGTTGAATTTTTTTTATCTTCTATCAAGTCCACTCTATTGATATAACAATATTGCTCACGTAAGCATTGTTGCCAAATGCTTACGTGAGCAATATTTTTCCATTTATCCTTGTTACAGTTACAGTCTTCCCCGGCCTGTATGGAACTGATAAAAGATTTGCAAACAGCCAGCTTTGTTGGCTGAGAATTCTGGGGGTCGTATATCTGAGGCATCTGGAAGTGGGATTGCTATAGAAGAAATGGAGAAATGCAGGAAACCCTAAACATGTTTATTGTGCACACCAGGGGTAGTCAACCTTTTTTATACCTGCCACCCACTTTTGTATCTCTGTTAGTAGTAAAATTTTCTCTAACCACCCACCGGTTCCACAGTAATGGTGATTTATAAAGTTGGGGACAAACCCCTACCGCCCACCATGAAAGCTGGAACACCCACTAGTGGGCGGTAGGGACCAGATTGACTACCACTGGTGCACACTGATGTGCAAGGTATTCTAGAGATGGTTGTTGTTCTTTTGTGATTCGGAATGCATGTTGCAATTATCCATTTTCAGATGTAATGAATTTGGAGCATGAAAAACTACCACCCCATTGTTTTTGTGGCCTTTCAGTTATTTCTGACATTTATTAGCAAATATTGTAGTTTGCACTAATGCTTTGGGAACAAAGACAGACTATGTTTTAAAAACAAATGTAATTGATTTGGGCACTAGAACTGAAAAAAAAAAGCAACTACTATGGTGTGGTCTATTTATTAAAAACAATGACAGGTAAGATTAGGAAAAAAACATTAGTTTCTCTCCATTAAAAAAAATATATCTAAAGCCACTGGAAATTTGTTTTCGAATGCTATGTTCAGAGGATTAGATTTTTGTGTTCCAGTATTATTATCCTGTATTGATGTTCAAGGTCTGGTTTTTGTCAAGGAAAAAGCACATTGTGTTGCTTATTGTGGTTTTCATGTAAATTGCTTTCCATTGGAATCAGAATTTTGAGCCTGAATTTCAGAGACGGCTTATGAAACTGGCTATCCTGGCACAAACCTTTTTTTTTTTTGGAAATCATTATTAAATGCAGACATATCCACTGGGTAACGAAGTTGGTGTGAGTCTGTGCCTGCTTATTCATCCTTAACATAACTTCATGGGAAGGCCCTCACATATTCATAAACCCAATACACACAATTTCTAAACATTAATTTAGAAATATAAAATGAAATATAAAATATAAGATGAGGTAGCAATCAATTACTTGAAGTCTTCTATGTTTCACCCCATAAATCTTTATGTCCAGAATTATGTACTTAGCTGATGACCCAAGAGGATTGGGGTTCTTCTTGAGTTATATTAATCAAGCTCATTGAATACAACCATTCTAGACTTCATATATTTACACACAAATTTTGTTCACATAGGAAAAACACAGGAATAGCCACCAACAGTTCAGGCATGCTGAACATAACCCAGCATTGGAAATTAAGAGTAAGATTGATAAAAGACATAACAAAACAAAACAAAACAGAACCCCAGTATGTTTTGAGTTCTTCATTAAATTATTCAGTAAAGCTACATATTGGGAAGCCTTGACATGATGTTTCCTCCCACTAAATCTTTATTACTGGATAGTATGGCACTCAAGATGTACAGAAAAAGCCTTCACATGCTCAGAAGAGCTTGTTCCATGCTTGTTTAAATTCAACCTAGATCCAGTTCCACAAAGTGCTTCAAACCATGTCAGTATGCAAAGGTAGCCTGGCCTGCTATTTAAAGAAGCAACCTTTTCCAGAAATATGGGTCAGCAGAAGCACAATCCTCGGGATATACAGCCCCTTTAAAGAGTTATAGAAAGGTTCTAGAACTGCTGCTGGAATGGGCCAACTTGCTGCGGCCAACCTGCCGTGGCCAACTTGCTGCAGGACAACTCAATAGGACCAACTCACTGTAGGACAATTTAACAATTCTATTTATTTAGAATAAATTAAACAATATATTTTAATGTTTGCCATTAAGATTTCATTCTGTCTCTCTCCTTTTGCATCTCTTCTTTAATGATTCCATTGCACTCTTTATTTAATACTAGTGTAACTCTTGTCCTGCAGCAAATTTTCCTGTGGTGAGTTGGCCATGGCAAGTTGGCCATGGTGAGTTGGCTGCAGCGAGTTGGTCGTGGTGAACTGCCATAGACTCCCCCACCTGTATCTGCTTACCCACCTGCTCAAAAACTGCCTTTCTTGGATCAAGTCAGCCCTACTGCTGTCTTCTCTGTAAACGTTTGGCAGAAATTTCATTTTCTAGTTTTTTTGTAGGATGCAGTACAGGTAATCTTCAACTTACGAACCACAACTGACTCCAAAATTTCTGTTGCTAAGTGAGACAGTTGTTAAGTGAATTTTGCCCCATTTTACCTTTCTTGCCACAGCTGTTAAGTGAATCTCTACAGTTGTTAAATGAGTAACATGGTTACTGTTAAGTGAATCCGACTTCCCCATTGACTTGTGAAGGTTGCAAAAGGTGTTTAAACCCCAGAACACTGCAACCGTCATAAATGTGAGTCATTCGCCAAAGCCTCTGAATTTTGATCGTGTGACTATGGGGATACTGCAACAGTCATAAGTGTGAAAAATGGTCATACATCAGTACCATTGTAACTTTGAATGGTCATTAAATGAACCGTTGTAAGTCAAGGGCTACCTGTACTATGTACGGTTGGATACAGTTATTTAAAGTAAATGAAAATTCTGAAATCATATATATGCAGGCAGCTAAAACAGTCTTGAATAAATGGGAGACAAATTTCTTCCATGACAAACGTTTAAATGATTTATATCCAACTTTTGATTTGTGTGGAAATTTATGAAAATTACATTTATGCAAAGTTTTTCATATGGCATATGGATGAGGGTAAGATATAAAAACATTATTCAAACAGTGCTTCAAATGATTATAACCAACTCTATAATGTACCAGTTGTTCCTGCTGGACTAATACTTCCTCTGCTTTAAGAAATTCATTGAGGCCACCAACAAAGCTTCTGGATTAAACCTAGGAAATGCTATGTATACAACTTATCTGTAAGAACTTGACAGGACTTGCCAGATTTACCCTAAGAAGCATAATCATACACATACATTTCTCCCCACTGAATATTCCAGAAAGGCATCAAACATGGATTAAACAAGACTCTAAAGAAGCAGAACAAACTGTCCTTAAAAAGAGTGTTTTTGTGGGTTTTTAAAATCCTTTTGCATCTCACATCTTGAGTGATGGCTTAGACATATTAACTTAACTACAGCATTTTCATACTGCCCATCCACAGGATTTTAGGTTGAAGATCCTTCACAAGGGCAAAATACTAAAAGCTCTGTGATTGTTTCTTTTTACAGCATGTTGTTTTATTTTATTTTAGGACTGAAAGTAATCCTTTAAGAAGAGTTTCTAAAGTCTGAACTGAAACACTATCCTGCAATAGACACGTTTAAAGACACACAGTTTCAATTATACTATTTTAAATTGCTGTGAGAAATTGCTTCCACTGAAGTTCATCTTTCTTTTTTCAACTGAGATTAAAATCAGTCTAGGCTTTTTTTTAAAAAAAAATTGTTTTGAAGAGTGGGATTTAAGCCCTGCAAACACGATTGCCCACAGATTTTCTCAACAATATACAGATTAGACCAGTGGTGGTATTCTACTGGTACGGCCCGATTCAGGCAAACAGGTAGTAAAAAATGCTACCGTTTGGCCGAATCGGTAGTAAAAAAATAACTCTTTGTCTTAACCAGTATTTCGGGTTTTTTTTCCTCCGATGATCAGCTGTGCCGGGATCCCCCTCGCTGTCTTACTGCTTCGACCAGGAGGCTTCCCTGAGGCCCAGGAGGCAAAAAGGGGTGCGTAGGTGTGTGTGTGTGCAACGAACCCTCCCCTGCACTCCATTTTTTTGGCCTCCTGGGCCTCAGGGAAGCCTCCTTGGAGCAAAAACAGCCTCCCAGGAGGCTTTCCTGAGGCCCAGGAGGCAAAAAAAAAAAAAAAAAACCCACAAAAAAAACGGAGCATGGGAGGGCTGCAAAAAAAAAAAAAAAGCCATGTCCACCCAGCCACACCCACCTAGCCACGCCCACAGAACCGGTAATAAAAATATTTGCATCCCAGCCCTGAATTAGACTTCATTTAATATCTACTTGTTCAGTGACTGCGATTATGACAGTTGCTGAATGAGGGGGGGACTTACATGAGATCCTAGTAGTTGTGGCTGTTGCAGCCCCCCCCCCCCCCCCGGTCAAGTAATTGCAATTCAGGCCCTTGGTGACCAGTTTGCAATTATGACATCAGAACATCCCTAGGTCACATGATCACCATTTAGGAACTTAATTGGTGGTTCCCCCCAACAAAGGCTAGGAAGAAGCTGGCAGGAAGTTGCAAATGTGATCACATGACACATAGCAATAGCACTTAGATTTATATACCATTTCATAGTGCTTTACAGCCCTCTCTAAGCGGTTTACAGAGTCAGCATATTGCCACCAACAATTTGGGTCCTCATTTTACCCACTTCGGAAGGATGGAAGGCTGAGGCAACTTGGAGCCTGGTGGGATTTGAACTGCCAAATTGTAGGTAGAAGTAGCTTGCAGTACTGCACTCTAACCTCTGCGGCACAGAGGCTCCTTATTATTATTATGCTACAACGGCAGCAACTGGACAGCCGAAACTGCCATCGTAAATCCGAGTGGTCACATGATATCATACTCCATGGATGGTGTAGCTTAGGGATGGAGTTCCTGATCCCAATTATCATCACCAAACAAGGAATACCTGAACTTTAAACTTCACGAAAACAATCCCTTTTTAAAAGTCCGTCGACAGTGGGAAGCATTAAGGCCACTACATGTATTTTGTTCGAGCGCATGAATACACAGTATTTTAAAACTGGATTTGGAAAAAAAAAACAAAAGAGAGTATCTTGCATGCAAAGCAGCATCTGAGAACTACATCTGAGAGCCACTATATTAAGTTAACAGAATGACCTTGACTCAAAAGACTATAGACTGAAACACGTTCCGCACATTCCGTACCACAACTGTAAAAGCCCGTGAAGATTTTGCCGCACCCCCTGCTTTGCTTTATCACAGCAGGAACAGATGTTAGTGAATTGCTAAGCAAGCTTACAAAGCCATTCTGGTTTTATAAATTTTTGGCAGTATAAACATAACACAGACCCAACACTTCCAGTTCCTATTTCAAAGCCACTATTGCCAGACACACACACTGTTCTGTTTTCTTTCTATACAGAACACCAGGTTTCCACAATGGAGATGCCTTTTGGGAGGATTGCACATCACCTTCCATGAACCTCAGCTATCATCCCCAAGAACCACGCTGTGTGTGGATTGTGGGACATGGAGGCTGTTGTGTTAGGAAGGCACCACATTTTCAAAGGTGTTGTTTGCAAAGTAGCATTCAATGTGGGAGACAGGCAACAACAATGAACTGATGTTCGGTTTTCCAAATTCTGCCTCCTCTAGTCCTACAGGACACATGAGCCTCCGGAAGTTTAATTTGATGGAATGGGGATCTCCAATGCTCAGTGACTCAAGATAGGGCTCCAAGAAAAGGGAAAGCAAGTAAAACAACAACAGCAACAGCCACTCCTCAAATTTACGGCTGTTACAGGAAGGAACTATGTGGATTATCGGGCTTTGATAAACACAGCACCATCAGGGACTGTTGCACGCTCCTCTTGTTCGGTTACAGTCTCAATGGTCCCCGAAGCGGATACAATCACTACACTTTTAGAGGTCAAAGTGCTTTTTTCTTTTTCTGCAATGGCGGCACACACGGCCAAGATCTCATCGCTTTCAAAATCATAATCTGGGATTGGTTCCTCCAAAGTTTTTGTCTCATCCCCCTGTGTTCCTGTCTCAGTTTTGGTTGCTTTTTTCTGTTGTTGTAATTTTCTTGCCCAGGAAAGATCTTCGTTCCACAATTCGGAGTTGAGCGGATAGATGTGCAAGGCAACCTGGAAGCTTCGAATAGCCTGAAAAAAGCAAGCAGGAAAACACAGCTATTAGCATCTGCCAACCCATTAATACTTCCATGCCTCGAAAGAGTTAAGAGACATTATGGAGCTGTGTTACCATCTAATGAGATTATATGGATTCTACTTATACCTGTGTTTCCCCAAAAATAAGACCCTGTCTTTTTTTATTTTTGCCACCAAAAAAGGCATCAGGTCTTATTTTGAGGGGGAGGGAGTCTCGTCCACTGACTCACCTCACTTGTGCGCATCACCCCCAGCCTCCTTTTTGCTGTCAGAGGCCTTCAGGAAATTCTTCTGCAGCCAGGAAAGCTTTCCTGAAGGCCTCTGCAGGTGATAACGGAGCTCCGGATCGATCTGGAGGTGTTATTGGCTATAGAGCCTTCAGGAAAGCCTTGCTGGCTGCAGAAGAAATGGGCCGGCAAGGCAGGTGTTGCGGTATGTGAGGCCTGGCTGCAACTGTCCGAAGATAAGTAGTAGGGCAGCTCCACCCTCCATCCCCACCCTAGCTTAATTTTTACCCATGCACCCTGAAGTAGAGGGGGGGGAAGGGGGAGAGGAGGAGATGGTCTTAATTAGGGCTTATTTTGGGGTTAGGGCTTATATTGGGCACATGTGTAAAAATCAAGCTAGAACTTACTTTCGGGGTAGGTCGTATTTTCAGGGAAACGCAGTAATACAAAACCAGATTTTTTCAAATGTGCAGTCTAGTTTGATCCAGTTTGAAACACATACAATATATTCATTGGTTGCTTGGGTTAGCTGTTCAAGTATTGGATTTGAACTGGGTGTATTAAAATTCAATTCAAGGCCAGCAGCGAATGCTATCTTGAGCTCAGAAAGAAATATACTATACAAAGAAATATTCTTTTTCAAAATATTACATTTGTTCATTTTGCAAGCTCCAATCTGGTCAGTCACCGGGACGGGAGGTTTAGTCTTTCTTCATTTTGTTGCTGTTTGAATTACTTCCAATAAAAATAATTATGTGCTGAAGCTGGTACTGTCAACTCTCGAAATGATTCTAGCTGAAGTCATATTTTTCTCTGCTTTGTTTCTTTGTTGCCATGCTTATGGGGGGAGGGGGACTTATGGAATGCATGTTTTCCTCCAAAGTGCCAGACATAACAGCAATAAGGCTCGTGAGAACCAAGGCCACCTCAATGTGCCCTAGCAATGGCAGGAGGGAATGCCGAGAGGTTCCTCACCTGCTTGGTTGGCTAACGTGACCTGTGACACATGGGGGGAACCATGACAGGTACTCGGTCATAAGAGCCACAGTGGCACAGTGGTTAGAGTGCAGTACTGCAGGCTACTTCTGCTGACTGCTGGCTGCCTGCAATTTGGCGGTTCAAAATCTCACCAGGCTCAAGGTTGACTCAGCCTTCCATCATTCCGAGGTGGATAAAATGAGGACCCAGATTGTTGGGGACAAGAGGCTGACTCTTAGAGAGGGCTGTAAAGCTCTGTAAAGTGATATATAAGTCTAAGTGCTATTGCTATTACTACTCAACAATAACTAGGAAGTCATCTCTATGCAGGTAGTCTTTAATTTACGGCCACAATTGAACCCCAAATTTATGTTGCTAAATGAGACATTTGCTGAGTGAATTTTGCCCCATTCCATGATCTTTCTTGCCACCGTTGTTAAGTGAATTACTGTATTTATCAAGTTAGTAACATGGCTGTTAAGTGAACCTGGCTTCCCCACTGACTTTGCTTGCCAGGTGGTCGCGAAATGTGATCAAATGACTCTGGGACACTGCAACCATCATAAGTATGGATCAATTCCCAAGTGTCTGAGTTTTGATCATACAATCATGGGGATGCTGCAACGGTCCTAAGTGTAAAAAATGGTCTTAAGTCACTTTATTCAGTGCCGTTGTAACTTCGAACGGTCACTAAGCAAACTGTTGTAAGTCAAGGACTACCTGTGTGGAAATGCCATATATGCAGCAATTCTAAAATCTATTATTTCCCCCTCTAAAGTATCATGTGAGTTTGAGGTGCTAAGGTCACACTACGGTTATGAGGAACTTCTGGTAAGACTGAGGATGAGAAATGATACTCGGCTGCATTCAGTAAAAACTGAGCAAAAAAGCCACTATTATGATTAATTTTCTGTCACCCCACCCACCCTACATACATACATATCACATTAACCCATGGCTTGTTTAACCATAGTTTACAGGCCAAAATAAATTTGCTGTACTGACACAACATACTAAGATATCAGCCATGAGATACAAACTTCAGTCCTTGAATTCACACAATTTACTAATATGGATTATAGTAACATGCAAATCCAACCACGCACACTCATTTTTTTTCAGTTTCAGAAGATAAATTACTAGTTTAAAAAGTGTCCTTATAACGTAAAATGGGCTATATTTTTTCTAGGATTATTTATTTATTTCTATGGCAGTGTATATAATCAGATTTGGACTTATTTCGGACTTTGATATTTCTTTAAAAGTTTTGTGCAACCTGGAAACATTCTGATACATCAAATGTCAAATGTCTAACATGCAGTCAGTTCATTTTACAAGGTTCTTCAAAAACGTCAAAAGTACTTTATAAAAAAATTCTGCTCCTTCTGATCCAGAAGAAAAAAAAAATAAGCTAAGACATTTACAGCCTCATTATCATGGACAAATATTTATTTCATTTAGTGATGTCTTGATTATTTCAATATCTTTCCCAAAACATTGAATTACGGATTAAACTCTCTATCTTGTTTGTTGCCTGCATAAAGGTACAGGCAGACCTTAGCAAGCATTTGAAATATTTCTGCTCATTTCTTTGTGATCCAGCACCCATCAACAGCTGTTAGCATCAACAGACTGCTTAGATTGTGAATAAATGTGAAAATAATTCAGTGTTACAAAATACAAAAGGACTATTTTGATTTTTTTTTAATGAGGTCCCCAAGGCATAGATTTATCACTGTATGATTGTGACAACTTAATACTACTTCCTTTTATGAATCTGAATTACAAAGCCCCTTTATTCTAATAATATATATAGATTATTAGTTGCTTTGGACAAAAAGATAATTCACTAGGTCAAACATAGACTTCAAGCAATCATGAAACATATAATTAAATCCTGAAGTTTGTAATTAAACCATGGTAACTGAAGTCACTTAATTGTAAATCCTACAAGAGTCAGGAAAGCTTCCAGATTTCATATTTCAGAAAAAATAACTCTTCCCATTTCAGGGTTTTGAGAGAATGCTGACCATTAAGAAGCGCTGAAGGGTAATTCTGATTTTCACACAACCCAAAACTCTAGGACTACAATCGTCACAAAAAATCTAATCCCCAGAGATTTTGAGAAAGTTATTTTTTGCTACAGTCACATTAAAAATATTACATATATATGATGGGACAAAGAAATCCATTAACTACACTGAACTTAAATGCAAACAGAAAGGAACTCAAATCACAGTTTTGCCTCAACTGACACTTTTTGGAATACATCCTCAATGAGCTGGAGAAAAATGCACATCACTGCACTTGACAATATATATGAGGTGGTAGAAGATTAAAGTGGATAGGGCTACCACTTTAGGGCGGAGACAAGGTTTATCTTTTCTTAATCTTTTTTGTGAAGAGTTTGTGTGGTTGTTGATTTGGGAAAAAATATGCTCAACTGTTTTAGGGCTTAGAGTTTCCATATATCTCCTGTTTCACAAGGGCAGAACAGTCTACCATTAGTTTTTGACAACTGGAGTCAGAAACAGCTCCTGAGAGCACAAAAATAATTAGGAGGATTCCATGCAGTCTTGGATAGCCTTGTAGTCAATCTCTTCATGACCAGGAGAATATGGTATACCAGGGGTCCCCAACCACCGGTCCCCAGACCGGTACCGGGCCGTGGATCATTTTTTACCGGGCCGCAAAGCTTGGGCGCCGCCATCTTGTTTCGACGGCGCTTCCGGGTTTTCGGTTGCTTCCGGTTTTCGGTTGGAAAGTGCTTCCGGGTTTTCAGTTGGAAAGCGGCGTTTGGGTGCTTGCGCCTTAGTTTCGTCGAAGGGGGGGGGCGGCTTCGAACGAAGAGCCGTCCCGATGGCGGTGGAGTCTCGCGTTACTCAGGTACCGGTCCGTGGAAGAATAAATAATCGTGAAACCGGTCCCTGGTTCAAAAAAGGTTCGGGGCCACTGATACTTCAGGAAGTATTTCACAATGTATGTTGCTACAGTATTGTCAAAAACTGATCAGAAGAACCTCAAGAATTACTGGAAATGAGGTGAGGTGCTCATCTGTAAGATGATTTTTTCCCCCAATCTGATGCATGTCATTTTGACCACGGTCAAAATTGTGGAAGTTTTAGTGAACCAGATTAGAGAAAGCCATTCTTTAGAACTGCCAAATAGAATAGATTAACAGTAATAGTAATAATTAATAATGATAGTAGTAGAATTATGAGTAGCTGCAGAAATGGGAAACTATTTCTAGCTTTTCCAGAAATGATTGAACAAAACTTTGGATATTTTTATTTTCAGTTTCAGGAATCATTATCACCATAAAAGGGAGAGGCCTAATAAACAGTTTCAGCCCATTATATATACAGGACACAGAGAAAATAGGTTTCCAGGTAAACTGGCAGTCATCAGCTAGAAAAAAAAGAAGAAGCTGAATATACTATACACGGTCTCCCTCTGACTCTCATATTCACTAACAGTGATAGCCCAAAGTGCTATCAGCTTCGTCTGCATGTTTCTGATGAGTTTTCACGAGCAAAGCTAAGGCTTATGAGAAAGTACACTTATGAAAAATACTCAATTAACTGAGGCTATCCCATAGTGCAATGGGAAAAATGGTTTTCATGCACCCAGCTTGTTTTAGGTATTGAGTTATGGATTACCAAAGTCCTTTTTTTTCTAATTTAGTGCACTGTAAGAACTTGGCACAACATTTTTTTTATATAAATATAATTGTTATTAAGATTTTCTTTAAATTTGGAAAGGAAGGATTTTGAACGTCTTTCCTTCCAC